AGATAAGAACTAAGGGGTTTATAACCTCTGGATAGAATCAGTGCATGCCGTTGAGAGGACTATCTAGTTCTTACCCAATTTGCTGGACACAACTGTGCTAGGACGGTCTGAAACGTGGGGAGGCCAGTGGGCCATGGCTGGTGTGTCCTTTTCCACATGCTTCACTGTATGTTGATGTTTCGAGAGGTAGAAAACAAGGTGTCCTTTTGGCCGAAAGACTGGACTTTAGGTCCCTTGTGCAGCCCTGGGCTTCAGGGTGTGCCAGCTGCAGAATCAGTGAGGTTCAGCTCAGTGAACCCCACTTCCCAAGTCCCTCCTTGCCAAGAGCCTGTCTGGGATATTCTTAATGACCCCTGAATCCCTGTTTGGACAACAAAGCTCCCTGGGCATATTGCAGATTCATGGTTGTGGCATTTGCACCGCAGGTCACATTCCATGGCCCATGCCAGGTGGCAAAGTAGCCACAAAAATTGGGACACCTTGCCGAACCCTGCAGTGTGACTGCAGGAATGCTGCCCAGGGACAAGGTCAGCAGGTGGTTTAAGGAGTCCTCTGGAGGAGCGGGGAAGGGACCTGTCCAGCAGCACCTCCTTCATCAGGCCCTGGGGACTACTGCTTTCAAATTTCCTCTTTCACATTGTTCATGAGGAATCTGTTGGACCAGGTCAGCTGGCCCAGCGAAAGAAAGCTGAGCTGTTTTGGGGAATCCCTCTTGGAAGTTGATGCTATTTTGTTGTTGTCCTGTAAATTCTAAGATAATCAAGTGACCCAAGGGGCTTGAAGCTATGACCCAAACTTTAATAGCCAACTTAGCATTCCACAAGAAGCTTAAACACTCACCCGGAGAGAGTGGTTTCAACTTTTTGCCAAAAGAAATGCTAACTCACCAACACTAAATAGCTTGTGACGTACCTGTCACATTTAGAGCCACAGAAGTAGCTACAGAATGGAATCGACAGGCAGGAAGGCTGTACCACAGCTGGGAATTGTCCTGAACACCTCACAGTGTTAGAATTACTCAGCAGCCAGGCTTGGTTCCCTTAGTCACGTGTGAAATTTCTCCACATGGACTGTGTTGTACCTGGGGTCTGGTTCTTCATAGCTGGAGTAACCTTTGTGCTATCAGCATCTACCCAGCAGAAAATTGACTTTCCCTTTGAGGATGATAGGGACAAACTGGAAACACGCCTAACACCCAATACTGAGCGAGAGGAGCAATTGTAGCTTCTTAGAGGGAACAAGGAAACAGGATTTTCCAGGCTCAAGGAGATACCTGTTCACCTAAGGGTGGGAGGTGGTTTGTTTGGTTGGTTGGTTGGTTTTGGTTTTGTGGAACTTTTTTTTTTTAATATGGGATTTTTTTGTTTGTTTGTTTTGGAATTTTTTGTTGTGGTGGTGATGGGTTGATTGGATGACTTTGCAGTACTGGTTACTTAACCCAGGGCCTGCACGCTGAACTACATTCTCAGCCCAAACATAAACATTTTAAGAGAAGATCTTGCTGAATTGCTCAAGCTTGTTTTCAAACTTGAGATCCTCATGCCTCAGCCACCCAGAGTTTTGGAATTATAGGTGTGTGCCTCAATGCCTAGTTAGCATGGGGGCACGTTTACAAGGGCTACATGCCCATGATTATTTTTCAGTTAAGAAACTGGAGACGACTGTAGAATTGGTTTCCCCTTCTACCTGGTTCAGAAAGGGAGCGAGAAATTTGGAGGGGCTGTCCTCAGGAAAGCCAGCAGTGAACAGGGCTCGCGTGAAAGCGGCTGCTCCCGAAGAGCAGTGAGGACTGCAGCTGCTGGTGAAAGCCACCGCCCTTGCTCTTAGAAGTCATTTCTCAAAGAGCAGGCCAGAGTTTCTGCCTTAGGAGCGCAATAGGACCATGGATTTGGGCAGAGACACGATGCCCTCCTTTGCAGCAACTGACCTTTTCTGTAGTCTCAGTTTTGCTCTGCCTGTAGCAGCGTGTGCTGTCGCTTCCTGTCAGGAGGGAGGCACCAGCTGGCAGGTGCAGGCGGCTCCCATGCACCTGGTGACCAGTGTCACCCAGTAGTGGGTGGCAACTTCAGACCTGCCATCCACCCCATGCGGGGAACACAGGGAGTGTGATGGGTCTAGAGACAGCTATGCTCATCACAAGGGGAGGCCACGCCGTGACAGGCACTTAGGAGTGGACACAACTCTGTTACTACCTCCCACAGCAGGCCCAGGAGGAGGGAGTGGGCAGGGAAGAGGCGGTGAGCAGCTCATAACTGGCAGTGTTCCCTGTGAATTAAAAACCAGTTACCTTCTGTGTCCATCTGCAGTAATTGAAGGCAAGAAAAATGTCTTGGTGATTAACTGATGGTTGTAAACGTTCTGATCAAAGTGAGTATCAGAAGATAGCTGGAGAGATTATGCTTGTAAATAAGTATCTGCAAAATATATAGGTCCTCGAGGGTGGGGGCAGTAACTGGAACTTAGGTGTTTAATTCTGGGGGTGGGTAGCAACACTGACCATGTTTACTAATCATGGGGAGCAGATGCATACTTTTGACTCAGGAAGTCAATCCCACAGATACGAACCCTGTGAGATTTTCTTTTGCGGAGGTTTTTTGTTTTTCCCTGTCCCAGAGGGCCCACACGCCTACTGTTCGCTCTGTCTGGTTTTATAAATCTTCTGGAGCGTTCCTACACCTAGACATGGAAGAAGCAATCTCTGCCAGTGGACAAGAGAGCACCTTTCCTCCAATAAGTTAGAGCTGTCTCTGAAAGCTTCTGTCCGCTCTCAGTCTGCCCCGGAAGAGATCCCTTGCCGTCCCTTGCCTCGTGTACCTCTTCCCTTTCCCCAGCATGCAGCATCACTTTGTCTTCCTTGCCCTGTTCTCAGACCTACGAGGCATATAAAGTCCAATAGGTCTGAAGCTCCTGCAGCTGGAGGTTAGTTAATTCTTATTCCCACAAATCCCCTAGTTTGACAGCTCCCCAGGGAATGCACAACTGGCTGGTTTTACGGTTACTTGTGTACCCCTGTGAACACTTTTGAACTTGAGCAATTGGAGTACAACCCTGCAGTGTGTAAAACCCTCTCTTCCAGCAGCACCCCAAGGGGAAATTCTCCCCTTCAACAAGCTCTCTTGTCTGTAAAACAGGAAAAAAAATCCATAGCGGGTTCTGCCTTGTTGAAATGACTTCGAGACCGTGGAGGCTGCAGCATCTGCAGTCGGCAGTGTCTTCGTTTGAGGAGGGAGAAGCCTCTCCATTTTTTGAGCCGAGCTTATTAGACAGGTTGCTAGAGGGGCTTGCACATCACGGCGCAGGCTAATTGGCTGCGGTGCTCTCTGCCTCCAACCCATCTCCATCCTCCAATTAAACTCCCATCATCCTGTTGTCCTGGGCGAACACTGCTGCCTCTGGTTTGGCATTTCTGTTTGGGTTTGGGGTTTCGGTTTTCCTGTCCTCCTTTCAGAGGTAACTTAATGAAACACTTTAAATACTCCATTTTTTAATTTAAACTCTTTTAATTAAAGCACTTCTCACAGAACCCTCAGTCACGAGTTATTTCCCCACATCCTTCAGTGCTTAATCTCCGAGCAGAATTGGAAATATCGATAGAAAGTGTAAATCATGCCCTCCTGCTGAAAGCGTTGTATCAGGTTTCGGCTCAAAAGAGCACCATTACCTTTAGCTGTCACGGATCTGTACACTTGATCGATAAACTTCAAATATTATTAGAGGTGGAGGCTTCAGAGATTTGCTCTGTTCTTTGGAGAGAGACAGAGATAAATCTTTCTTAGAAATGGACTTGAATTTGCACTCTCAGTCCTCCTGGTGAAATGCATTTCTCTTAGGCATCCAACAACTGCGAGGGGGACAGATTTATAGGCCATGTGCTTCTTGTACTGAAAGATTTAAATGGTAAATCCTTCACATATGACTTCACAAATCATGTAAAGTTAAAAGATTTTTACCGTTTCTGTTGCTGCTGTGCTTAAATTGTAGGGTACAGCTAGTAAATCATTTTAATGGAGGTGTCGTACTTGACTCAATAAAAAAAAAAAAAAGACAATGGTTTAGCTTCCACTCCAAAATGTTAATGTATTAATCAACGGGAGAATAATTGTTTTTTACTACATTATAAATCTCGGGTGCCATTAGGATTTCAGCAAGGGGTGATGTAGCCACATTCCTAAATTAAAATTGTTTACACTGCCATACATCCATCCTGCATCGCCATAGCTCATTCTGGGTTCATTTTGGAGTTGTTCTCCTGCCAAATGTGTCGTTCCTCAGTCGGAAGGAGACATACTGAGGGAGTGATGCTTATAAAGGAAAATTAATTGCACCGAGCAGTGTTAAATAAGTAAAATAAGAGCCGTCTGTGGCGATGGACACTTAACTCCTGGCTGTCTTTTTTGAAATAGGCTTTTAGGTTAACTTGAGGCTTACTCCCTCATACGTTCTCAGTGCAGCAAGCACGTCTCTTGTTCTTAGTCTTTTCATTCTTATTTTATCTCTAGGCAGCTGTGGTTTTTGAGCTCTTTGATTTGCTCCTGCATATACCCATTACAGAGTGAGTCACTGGGCATCCACAGAAAGATCCCCTTCTTCCTCTCCACAGTGTTTGTGATCGCCCAAAGGTACAATTCAAGGCTGCCTCAAGTGGCCGTATCAGCTTCCCTAGTTAGGACCTGCAGCTGGATACAGAGTGGGGACCAAGATTAGGTCAGGACCTGGTGACTCCTGTCCCCTCCCCCCGCCCCCCGCCGCCCTAAGCCTGTTTCACGTATATTGGCGCACCTGTGCTGCTGATAATGACATTGCCTTGGGGGGAGAGCAGATCAGTTCAGCACTGGACAGGTCAGTCTGTGCCTTCAGTGTGACTTGATCCATCTAGAATGTTCTCTCCGACTCCTCCATTAAAAAGGAAGATGGCCTTCTGACCCTGGTGGCAGAGTCACCAGGGCCCCTGGTGTCTTGTAATAAGCTCTACATCCCTATTCCTCTTGTGATTTCAACAGATTCTCGAGCAGGTGAAGAAGGCTCAATCAGGGCGGTGGATCATGCCGTGATTGGCGGTGTCGTGGCCGTGGTGGTGTTCGCCATGCTGTGCTTGCTCATCATTCTGGGCCGCTATTTTGCCAGACATAAAGGTAAGCAAGGTGCTTTGGCAGGCAGGAGTAACATGTCACCACCGCCCATGCGTTTGGGGACTTTGCAAGTTTGTCCTTAATAGGCAGCTAGGTGTATGTGGCCACACCACCTGTCTGATTTCTGACACAGAGAGGAGGGAAAAGAAAAAAAGCAGAAACCTTAGCAGCTACCTAGTAGGTTTTGGGAACTGGTGAGCAACACTCCTTGATTGGGATTTTCTTTAAGTATAAAGCTTTATAGAGCTGTTCTCTCCAGGCCATAGAAGGGGAGTCAAGTGAAAATAACAAAGTAATGGGCTGGTGTGTGAGGGGCAGCGTGAACTCCAAATGGTAAACATGGACAAACCACCCACCGCAAGGAAGGCAGGTGAACCCTGTCCCCTGACCCAAGCGCTGGCTAATTACACTAACTAGCCCTGAGGACTAGAAAACTTCCTTGGTGTGATGTGCCCAGATTATAGAAAATGTGCCTTAAAAGCCACATAAATATGTATTTTTAAAATTATCAGTGCAATTGATTTAAATTGCCATTAATCACCACACTTATCAGCTGTGCAGTCTGGATGGGCAATCATCGTTTTGGGGCTCCTCCTCTGCCCCATGCTGCTATGAGCCTCTTCTTCCCTCCTGGTAATTTATTCTGCCTTTTCTCTGTCGGCCCTTGTCTTGCTCACTTGTTTTCTCAAGCACTGTGCACTGACCTGGTAGAGTTTTCCAGGCACTTGCAGACTGCTTGATTGTACCGGGTGTATGAAAGGTCCCTTGAGCATAACAAAGGGGGTCCAAGGTACTTGACAAGTATCCTTCTCAGGCCTCACTCAGTTTGGAACTCTCCCAGCTGACTGACCGAGAACTCTCACCTCTCAGTGTTGAACCTGACAGCCAGGGAGGTGAGACCAGGGAGCAGCTGAGGCTGAGCAGCACCTGCAGAAGCCAGGCAAAGAGGGCTGTGCGTCCCTGCAGAAGACAGCATGCAGGACAGGAGGGAAGCACTTGACTTCTCCACTTCGTCACTCTGAAACTTTAAGAGAACGCCAGTGTCTCAGCCTCTTTAAATTTTAGAACCTTTGGAAATTTAGAATACAGGGCTGGGATTTAGCTCAGCAGCATAAGTGCCTGCCTGGCAAGCATGAGGTCATGAGTTCAAGCCCTGGTACCAAAAAAAGAAAGAAAGAAAGAAAAGAAATACAGAACGCAGTGGGAAGAGGGCTGTTTGGTTATGCCAGGAAGTTTAAGTGCTATCTGCATACGGTCCTGAGGTGCAGTCCGTGTCTTCCTCCATATAAACTCTTGGGATTTGGTGATAAGGGTGCTATCGATTTTATAACGTTCTGTCTATTGTCATTAAAAAGTGGCTGTGCCAATTAGCAAATCCATGAATCCGGGTCCAGGATACAGTTACTCGATGAGAAAAATCACATATCCATGAAGACTGATCTCAAGCCTTGATTCCAGCCATCACAGTGTCAAATTATTTCTCAATCTGGAACCCCACTCAGACATGGGAGGCCCGGGGAAATCAAACATCCTTGTTCTCTCTTACGGATAGCCAGTAAAGATTCTCGAAACCAGGAGACTGTGGTTCCAATAAACAATTCAAGATGACAGTAGAAGCATCATCAGGGCCCTAATTCATTTATTGGCTAATTGCTGTTCCTTGCTTTGGTCTTTAACCATGTGCGTGCACATCTGTGGTCATTGGTCCTTGGTGTTTACTGTTGACGCGTTAGTCAGCAGCTCTCCAGCTTTCTGCATTTTAGCTCCCACTCACGTCTTCTTCTGCTGACATCCTCTGGTCATAATCACTGCTCTAATGTCTCATTTGCTGAATTATATCGCAGCGGTTCAGTTGGAGTGGTGCCTTTGGAACCCCCGGATCCCCATCTGTCTCCCCCACCTCCGCTCTCTTCTTCCAATTGTTTTTTCCCCTCTGCTGCCTGCACACCACTTCGGCTGATGATGGCCATAAAGCAAGTTGCCATCTCTGTACCGCTTTGCACAGAGGCCATCAGACAGTCACGGTGCTTTACCCCTTCATCTTTCAGGTACATACTTCACTCATGAAGCCAAAGGAGCCGATGACGCAGCAGACGCAGACACAGCTATAATCAATGCAGAAGGAGGACAGAACAACTCTGAAGAAAAGAAAGAGTACTTCATCTAGATCAGCCTTTTTGTTTCAATGAGGTGTCCAGCTGGCCCTATTTAGATGATAAAGAGACAGTGATACTGGAACTTGCGAGAAACCCGTGTGTTTTTTATGAATGGGTGGAAAGTTGCGACTGGAAGGCTTGGGATTTGCTGTGTAAAACAATGTTCTTTGGAAAGTACTCACTGCTGTTTGACACCTCTTTTTATTTGTTTGTTTGCTTGTTTTAATTTTTATTTTTTCTTACCAAGTCAAACTTGGATACTTGGGTTTAGTTTTTGGTAGAATGCAGAAAATTCTGTGCCTTGTTTTTTTTTTTGTTTGTTTATTTGTTGTGGGTTTTTTTTTTTTTTCCCTCTTCGTGAGCATTTATTTTTCCCAAACAAATTTTGGATTTTTTTTTTTTTTTCCCAAAATCTCCCATTTTGGAATTTACCTGCTGGGATTCCTTAGATTCTTCTCCCCGTTTCTGTTACTGTTTTGACTTTCTTTCATTTATTTTTGAGGTAACTGCTTTCTGTTCCAAGTTCAGTTTCATAAAAGGAGAACCAGCACAGTTTAGATTTCATAGTTCAGAATTTAGTGTATCCATAATGCATTTTTCTCTGTTGTCGTAAAGATTTGGGTGAACAAACTGAAACTCTTTGCTGCTGCCCATGTTTCAAATACTTAGAGCAGTGAAGACTAGCAAATTAGACTGTGATTCAGAAATGTTCTGTTTGCTGTGGAACTACATTACTGTACAGGGTTATCTGCAAGTGAGGTGTGTCACAATGAGATTGAATCTGTCTTTAATTCCGTGTCTGTAGACGGCTCAGTATAGATACCCCACGCTGTCCAGAAAGCTTTGGGGCGGGAAGGATCCCTCCTTTCTAATGCCCTAAACAGACCTGACAGGTGAGGTCTGTTCCTTTTATAGAAGTGGACAAATTTGAGTTGCCACAGGAGGGGAAGCAGGGAGGGGGGAAGACAGTTCTGCTCTGGTTCTTTCTGTTCCAAATGATTCCTTCCACCTTTCCCAATCGGCCTGACTTCTCACTAATTCGTAGGAAAAAGCAAGTCCAGGTATCGTGTGAATGACAGAATGGGACAGGGGTTGTTATTGTTTTATGTTTTGGTTTTTTTTTCCTTTGTGCTTAGTTAGGAAGGCAGTAGGAGGTGGCCTGCATGTACTGTATATTACAGACATTTGTCATGCTGGGATTTCCAACTCCAGTCTGTGTGAAACTTTCATCCCTCCCGGTCTGGCTGACAAAGGAAAGAGGTAGAGAAGACGGGCCGGTATTGTGCTCACACTGGCCTGCTGTCCGTCTCAGTTCTCGAAAGGTCAGAGCAGAGGTGGAAAGAACAGCATGTAGGGGTTTTCAGTTACTTAATCAAAACTCAAATGTGAGTGTTTTTATCTTTTTACCTTTCATACACTAGCCTTGGCCTCTTTCCTCAGCCTTAAGAACCATCTGCCAAAAAATTACTGATCTCGCATGATGGCAGCCATAGTGCATAGCTACTAAAATAAGTTACCTTGGACATATCTTAGATGGGAGCCTCGGGAACGGGAGAGTCGAGTGTCCATTTGCATTTTTTAAGGCACTGTGGGGATTTCCACTGAAACTTCTAGGAACTCTAGAAGTAGTCCTGAAGGACGAAAGCTAAACTCTTATGTCTTGGTAAGGCTCCAGACTCCAGATAACAGTCCCTATGGAAAGATGGCATCAAAAGAGATAGTTCTATATAAATATATATATATAAATATATATTATATAACATTTTCAGTGAGTAATTTTGGATTTTGCAAGGTGCATTTTTACTATTGTTACATTATGTGGAAAACTTACGCTGATTTATTTAAGGGGAAAAAAGTGTCAACTCTTTGTTATTTGAAAGTGTGTTTATTTTTCTTGTCTTTATTTTAACCTTTGATAGAACCATTGCAATATGGGGGCCTTTTGGGAACGGACTGGTATGTAAAAGAAAATCCATTATCGAGCAGCATTTTGTTTACCCCTCTCCTATCCCTAGGCACTTAATCAAGACAAAAAGCCACAACGAACACCCCTTTTTCAAATGAATTTTATAACGTGCAGCTCTATTCCGAGCCCTTAGCACCCATCCTGACCATAGTGTAACCATGTTGAAGGGTGAGATCCATTTAGCATGTTGTTGAAAGATTTTTTCAGTTGTTGTTTTTAGAAAAAGAAAAAAAAAAAAAAAACAAAGACAAAAAACAACCATTGCTCACAGAATTGGCATCTCATTTTTGGAAGCTCCCATCTTCCTGTTTTGAGACGTGTACAGTAGTGCAGTGTTCCTGATGTAACTTTATGGCTTACAATGTTGACATGTCTCAGGTTCATGTGTTCCGATTGGTGTTTTCCGTCTCAGGTAGATTGCAAAGTGTAGGCCCCACGCATTGGAAAAAAAGAATAAAACAAAGCAAAAACAGGAAATTACGGATTTTAGTTGTATATTGGTTTATGTATTTTTCTTAAGTATACAGTGCACTGTTTGAAATGTATTGTTGAGTATTACTTTGTACAGGTTGATCACTTTTTTTAGAGTGAAGAAAGAACAAACTTGTTTTTTTGTGTTTTTTAAAGGAATATAAAATAATGAAGGATGTATAACTGATGCCAAATAAGCTTGTTCTTTAGTCACACCGATGTCTTACTCTTCCCTCTAGGCCAGTTCTGTTTTTAAGGTGTACATGGGCAATGTTACAGTGTAAGAAACTCCATATCCATATGTTCCCATTCGCATTTTGTATTGGTTCATGTATACCATTTTTACAAAAAAAAAGAAAAAAAAGAAGTACTATAAAATATCTGTCTTCTTAATAAAAAAGTTAATGTTACAAAGTGATCCTTAATCTCTCCATGGAGTTCTTCCGGACGCCTCCACCCAGGGCCACGCTTCCTCCTTAGGACCTGGTGCCGGCCCCGGCCCGGCCCGGCCCGGCCCGGAGCAGCCGTGCTGGGACCGACCTGGCTGTGCTGGCTTTCTCGGGACCGTGTTCTCTCCTTCTGCTCACCCTTCCCGTCCTCGTCCTCTTCTGCCCTCTCAGCGGACAGGCGAGCCAGGTGCCGGGCTGGACGGCGGCGCCTCCGGTGGACTCGCTGATCTGTGCAGGTGTGCGGGACAGCAGCTGGCCCCAGGGACAGGCCCAGCCTCGGATTCACCTCCCTGCCCGCCGCCCCCACCCCTTTCACCCACCACCCCACCCACTCCCCTGTGTCGCCTGCTCCACCTGTCTCTTCCTTTGGGATTCTGTGTCTAAACGGTTCATTCCGCCTTCTTCATTTAAAGTTCTCTCTCCTTTCACAAAAGGAAGACGTGAGAGCCTGGACCGGCTTGGCTGCCTTGTTCTCCCTTGCTGTTTAGGTTGCTGGCACTTCCAGGCCTGGGTGGCCGGCAGGATTCGGTCACTTGTCATCGTCCTTGACTTGCAGGCCGAAGGGGACTATGCCTACACTTCATGGTGGCTGATATTAGAAATGCAGATAACGTTTGCCCCGTCTGCGAGTGCCCTTTCCACCGCTCACCCACTGTGGTTGAGTTCCCCCTTCTCTCTCAGTCAGTAGATGGGAAGGGCTCAGCAGGGACAGAAAAGGTAAGCCCCAGAAAAGCTAGACCTGTACCTTCCGTTGTCCTGCTGCAGCCTGGCTTGGTGTCTTGCCTGTCTGGGTGTTTAAATTCTTTTCGCCCTGGGAGGCCAGCGAAGATAGCAGTTAATTACACCACGAGGAAACATGAAGTGAGGCTCGCTTATGCCTGCCACACCCAGGGGTGGGAGGAGTCCGGAGGGTCATTATAAATTTCTGGGGGAACGGAGATGAGTGGGCATTGGGAGCCATGCAGGACTAGAGTGGTTTTGTGGAAAAGGAGGGTCATCAGCCTGCCAGCGTGTATGAAGTCACCTCTCCCAGCGGTGGCTGCCTCAGAGTCCAGCCAAGACAGCCTTTGACAAGGGGCAGAGAGCAGTGAGAATGCAAACTCATCGTACTTGTATAGATCAAGATCCACATAGGCGATTTGGGGGGAGAGCTTCAAAGTGCAGTCCACCTCGGATTAAATCCCTGACCCACCATTTATTAGCTGTGAGACTGCAGACAAGTCGCCCAGCCCTCCTGACCTTGGTCTCCTACTCTAAGACAGGGATGGCCATAACCTCAGAAGTTGTTAAAGAAGTTGCAGGCTGGGGGTGTGGCTCCGAGGGAGATGGTAGAGTGCATGTTTAGCATGCAAGAGGTTCTGGATTCAATCTCCAGCACACACATACAAAAACCATCAGTGCTTAGGAAGTAAGGCTCCAGACAAAATAACCCTGTTACGTGTTCATCAGAAAATAGGATAGAGGCAAATGATGATTAAAAAGAACCTTACCAGTAGCTATGAGAAAGTTTTTACTGAGTGGGACCTCTGGGGTCTTCTGCATGTGGACACATTGTGCCCTACAAACCTTGTCACGGAACTTTTAGTGACCCCTCTCTTCCTCATCACTATTCAGTGACATGCATGTTCCAAGCCATGTGCCGTGCAATGCGTGTGATGCCCCCACCCATCTCCCTATCACCTGTAGCATGAAGCTCCAGACTCAGCTGTAACCTGCAGAGAAGGGACCCCAGCAGGTCACTGAACTGAGACCGATGTAAGGTGGCAATTTGTCCCTTGAGCTCCACGAGGTATGCAAATGAGAGGTGCCAAATGCAGCGCTGGTAGAAGCTTGATAAATCTCTTGGTCCTTCCAAAATGCATGAGAGTGACAACGGTCCTCACTTCCTGCAGAGAATTTTCACAATGTTTTGGCCTGGTTGCATTCTCCAAATACATCACCTGGAACCCCAAAGTGATATGCAAGTGATAACTGGCACAATCTTTCACTGTCCTCTGTCTACATGAAATGTAATTCTTGTACTGCTGTACATGTGCTCCACAAAGCAATGTCCCTTTGATTCTGCCATCCAGAACCTTAAACCAGCCATGCGATCACCACGCGGCAGGTAGAAAAGCCCTGCGTAAGTGAAGCGTTTGTGCTCCGTTACATTTTGCCTCAGACTAGTCCACCTGTTTGCTGGAGTGCCAGATGCACAGCGCTAGGAAGAGTTGGCAGCCACGTTTCTTAGAGCAGAACTGATACAGCTACACATAGTTCAGAAACTGTTCCAAAATGAAGCCCTTGGGTCTCCTGACCCACTGTGCAGTGGAAGAAGAAGGGATTCTTGGCTGTCATCCAGGTGACCTAGTGGCCAATGCATGAAGGCCAGCAGTATAGGTAGCTTTCAGGCTGGCCTTGAAGAAAATCAGCGGACCCACCCTGAGTTCAGTGTCTTGGGTTCCATCATTCTTAAGGACCTGCTGAACCACACACTTGTCCCCTTCTGGGGAATGGTGACATTTTTAATAATGGCCAAGTAAACCCCAAGGTAACATTGTCATCATAGAAGAGGCTTCACAATGTGGTGTGACGTGCTAGAAAATTCAGGCCACAGTTTGCCGCATTTGAGCTTATCTCTAAATCTTGATTTGTACTTACGCTCCCGCTCCCATAAGTACAGGGAGCCTCAGGGTGCATTGCGTCCACCATAGGCTCCTGTTACAGATGGTAGAGAGGGCGGTGGGCACAAGGGTGATCGGAGCCTGAAAGCAATCTGTTTTCAGGTGGTCTAATCCTCAGTGTCCTGGCTCTTTGGTACATGGGAGAATGTATTTGCTTTGTGTTTTCTTTTTTATGTTTTGATCTTCCATTCCCAAGCACCCATAAAATATGCACTGCTCCTGGCGGTCAGTGCCGGCAACTACAACTCAAATTTGCATATTGAAATATGAATTAATTCCAAAGAGGAACCTGACTTCAAGTCTGCTGCATCTTCTGTCACGCACATGCATGCCTCTCCGTGCTTCCCATTTCATTCCCCCTAAAGCTTTGAAGTGTTAAGGTGAGGGGCAGATCAACGCGGGCTGTGGTCCCAGGACATCCGCGGCTGCCCTCTGAATGTGCACAGGCTCGCAGTCATATTTCAGACGTGCCTGCCTTAAATCTTCCCTAAGTGCTATCTTCTCAGGTTAATTAATCACCAGGCTTAAACTTGCTGTTACCAGCAGGAAGTCCATCCTGAAGTCAGCAATGTTACGATTGCATCTTCTAATACTGTTTATCCTGCATTAGTGTTTACTTAGGGGGAAAATTGATCCGTAATTGATATTTCAGTCTTCCAGAGCTGGTGTTGGAAGAGCCTAATGCAAGCCTTTAATAGCAAGCAAATATTTAAATCCCTTAATGGTTGCTGAATATTGAAACGTGTGACTTTATTACTCTTTTTTGGTTCTCTCTGTAGTTGTGTATTTCATCGTTTAAACTTGCAACGGATTCTGGCAGGCTCCAGTCTAGCTAATCCACAAAAGCTGTTTGCCCAGACACAGCAGTCCTGATTAAAAAGTATTGCTATGGAAGGGAATCTTCTGCACTAATCAGTCTCTGTTAGCTAGTGATGAAATTACTATCCATCTCTCTCTCTTTCTCTCCCTCTCTCTAGGCCTGTTTTCTCTAACCTCTCCCAGAATAAAGTGATGGGGGCAGCTATAGTGTTGCAATTAGGAACGTGAATCCTTTATCGTTTGGACGAGGAAGGGAAAATGCCATTACTGTCAACTGAAATGTCCTACTTGGGTTTTTCGCTCCTACTTCCCTGCCAAAGCCCATTGCTGCCGCTGAAAGTGTGTAACATTCACAGCTGTTCTCGATGGCTTGATTCTTAACACAGCCAGAAATGTAGCCTGGGAGATGCTTAAGACAGTTTATGGAAAATAATAGATTTCCTTGCAGAAACACCAGTGCATCGAGAAGGGCTTGGAGTCACCAATTTCCTCCCTTTCTGGCTTCAGTCACAAAGCCTTTTGCTAAAACATGCAGGCCCTCTTGAATTCTCTGTGTTTTCCTGGTTGGTTCCTATCAGCACCCACAAGTCTCTGGCTCTGGCGCCCTTTGTCTCACCACTCACCCGCAGCAGCCGTGGGATCTGAGAAGCAGCAGTGCCTGCAGAAGAGGAAGGAAGAGAACGCTGCCAAATACAGAAGAGCTCCCGGGACGCCAGCTGCTGACCGCTAAGAGCAGGTCCACCACCGGGGTGCTCCAGAGACAAGACAGCTGTGTTGGAGGTCACCACTGCCATCAGCATGAGGGTGGGGTCCTCCCGTCCCCATGCAGCACCCCCTTAGCGAGGCTGGCTTCAGCCCGGAAGCCCGCACACCATCACCACGCCCTGGCTTTCTCAACCCAGCCCTTAGTTAGGGACCACTGGGTGTGACACTCCCTTTGATAGGTCAAGGAGTGGCTTCGAAGTCTCAAATGTTGGCTGCAAGAAAGAAGCCACCGCAGGGTTGCAGCTCTCAGACTGTTTATTCAAATGCACTTCAAAAGCCATGTATCTCCCCAATGGTGCCTGCAAAGCAAGGTAGAGAGCCCCGCTTTCCGCACTGGCCACATCTCTCTCCCTTCTGCTGTAGCTGCAGCCATGCATACCCCCAGCCGAGTCCCACCACTCCCCCACTGTTTTCCTCCTCAGCTTCTAAATGGAAGCCATTAATCATACTAAATTGTGCAATGATTCCAAGATAGGGAGAATGCTGATGGCAAAAATCATTCTCCTTTGTTGTGCCAGGCAGGCAAAAGGCAGAAGTATTAGCTCGCTGCCCTGCCTGGCTTCTTGCAAATGCTGACCATGTGTTTGCCCACGCAGCTGCCTCTATGCGCACAGCTTATTTTAGCATTGGTCTCGGGCATCCCAACTGTTGACAGAAAACAAGGCGCCCATCTACTTCTTTCTGATTGTGAGGACTGCTGGGAAGACTTGTAACTGGGGCACGCCCCTCCCCTGCAGTCTTTCCATCTCAAGGTCCTCAGAACCAGGGAGGGCTAGTGCGGGCTCTCCACAGAAAACCCAAGGTGGGCTCAGATGGAGTGAGCTGGTAAAGTAGGCTGTGCCCCCTCCCCACCCACACACACTTCTGCCAGCTGGGTTGCAGAAGCAGCCAGGTGTGGGTACCAAGGAGGCTTTTTGCCTTTCAGAATTTGATGTGTGCTTCGCTTTCGACAAGCCTCTTTGTAAGCCACCCCTTCTGAATTAGAATCATTTTCCAAAAGCTCTTAAGCTATGATTAATGCCAGGGCTGTTTTTAACAATCATCCTGCCAGTCTTAAGCTGTAGTCATTTTCAATAATTTGGAGTGCTCAAAGGCAAGCCAGGAGTTTGTTGACAACAAAACCCACAAGAGCACAGCCAGGCCGCCACAAAAGATGGAAAAGCAAAGGGACCATTTGGGCTTAGCTGGCTTTCTGCTCCCAGAGTTGCACCACTAAAAGTTTGATTGAATGCTCACAATGCATTAAGGATCCAACTGTGAACATGGCTTGGCGAGGGGGCTGCCAGCCTGCCTTTTGTGGGAACAAATGAGCAGCATGTTTGGAGGGCTCCTGGTTTATTTATGGACATGTGCACTTCATTCATGCCATCCCAAACTAGAGCGCTCTCATTTGTCTTCCCTGTGCCAACACTGAAGACTAAGAAGTGCCATTGCTTTGCTGTGGGGCTGTTTACTTGCCACAAATGCCGAGCAAGTCTCTGGCCAAATTTTGGGATTCCTTCCCCGTGGATGGGCCCAGCCATCTCCTCAGCCATGTGTACTAAACTTGTCCCTCTAGTCTTGGTGGTTGCATGCTAGAGTGTCCATCTGTTTGAAAAGCCCAAATTAAAGGAAGCTATGCAATGTCCACGATTTGACTTCGGATGGCTCTTACTTGTAGCTCATGACTTCCCCTGGCAGGAAAGGGTCAGGCCTGGGTGACAGGAGTTTAACCCAAGGAATTTGGCGTGATGGATAGATATTTGTGTCTCAATTCAACCCTGCCACCGCACTAGCTGTCATGTAGGGTGTGTTGTTAGCCAGGGAGAATACAGACTTGTGGTTACAGCTGGTAACTTTCTTTAGCTGACTTCCAATAAACTCCCTTCAACTATGAGTCACAACAAGATTCCCAGTTCCGGCCTCAACGCTGCGACCTTAGTGATATCAATCACATCTCTCCCTCTGCCCCCTCCCCACTCCCTTTTCCTCCTCCCCCTTCTCTCTCTACTTCAAGCTCTTTCTTTTGAAGCAAAATAGCAGACTACTAGTGGCTGCTCTTTAGAGCATTATTTCTATCTTAGCCAAGGCTGCCCCAAACAAATACCATAATGTACCAGAGACTCTGCAAGTCCCCAGTTTACCCTTCTCATAAGAGCATTGCTAGGTTTTTTTGGCAACTTCTGAAAGGCATCAGTGGGACATCCTCCTGCCTAGCATGGCGTATGCAAGGTCATGAAATACGGGGGAAATGCACTTCCTGCTTCCCTTCTTTTTCTTTTCTGAGTTAACAGCATCATCAGCCCAAACCAGAAGCCGCGGTGCCCTTCTCATCCCCTCTTCTACTTCCTTCCAACTGGCTGCCAGCCCCCGCCCACTGTCCTTAATGCTTCTCAAGCTTGACCCAAACTCATCACTGCCATGGCATTTGCCTCATCCTGGCCCGGAGAGGAGCCTTCGGCCAGAGGAGTGTAACATCCTCTTTCCTGGCTTCCCTGTCCCTGTCCCCCAGCCCATTATCAGTCCTAAACCAAGTGTGCCATGTCTCTCCCCTGCATGGAAACCACCCCGGGCTGACATTTGACTGCAGAATAAACCCAAATCCTAACAGCCTGCATCAGCTCAGTCCGGGCCTTCAGGCTCACCCTGTGAAACCGCACCCCTCATGCCCAGACCCCGAGCTTCACCCTGTAACCCAGGAGCTCTGTTTCAGCACCATCCACACCTCTGTGCCTTGGAGTACTCAGGGGCTATCTTTCTCCCTTGAGGTGGATTCAGGTTGTTTCTGTGTTTTTTCGGTCCCTCATACTTGCCTCTCAATTTGTGTCCTTATCCCTTATCTAGACTGTTTGTTTACCTACCTGTCTCCCTCAATAACACAGGAAATTTCTTGAGCGTAAAGACTAGATCTGACCCAGCTCTGTATCTCCAAAGCCAAGAGCAGTAGCTGGCTCTTTGCTCAATAAATTATGGAAAAATGAGATTTTTTTTTCATCTATAGTTGGATGGGTCTTTCATCTGCTCATCACTTTCCTAGAAATATCCTGGTAAGACCTGGCCTTTTCTCACTAGAAGTTTTAAAGTTTCTCAAACTCCCTCTCCTGCTGTTAGATTTTCACTCTGGCTGAATTTTGATTTTGTTTCTTTTTGTCATGGCCAGTGTTATTTTTTCCTATCCGTGACTTGGTAGGATGTTTTACCCATGAAGGTCCGTGTATACACCAAAAATCTTTACAGGATCTGTGAACACATTTGAGACCCAGAAAGAAAAAATGGAAGTTCCAAATTCCAGGGAAGACCAGTAAACTGTCAGATCAGACTAATTAGATGTTTCATTAACTGTATAAAATCATAGCGCTGTCAACTAGCCCGCAAACTGCAACCAAGCTGGTAAATAATCAGGTATAAAATATATTCACTGCAGGGTTGTCATGTATTCGATACAGTGCGGAACAGCGCCTCTGGGCATTGAAACTGTAGGCCCTGCAAAAGTTTTAAAACTGCTCTATCCTTTCTGGCTCTCTCCCCTTCTGCTGTCTGAATCTTAAGCCCAGCCCTGAGCTCATAGCACAGGTTCTGAAGGGACAAGACCTGCCTAGTGGGCAGCCCAGAGGATTTCCTGAGCCATTACCTCCCTCCTGGAAGGCTGACACTTCTCCAGAACCTGACAAATGCACTTTAGAGGCTCAGGATGGAAACCTGAGCTGCTCCCAATCTGCATAGAGCATTTTAGACTCTCATTAGCGGCTAATTCTTGTGGGTTGAGCAGCGGCAATCTGCAGAGATGTCTGACCTGCACCCCCAGCTTCCAATCTGTCCAGCAAATTGTTGGGGTGGACACCCTGGTTCTTGAAGGGCAGGTGGCTCTCTGACCTGCTGCTGTTTTGCAGCTTTGGGTTTTTGTTTTGGTGTGTGGGAGGAGAAGGAGAGCTGGTGGTGATGAGCTCCAACTCCAGGAGCCCGCATTCATGAGCAGTATTTCCAGCTGTGCCTCTGATTCAGCCGGTGACCTTGGGCAAATCGCTTCCTCCCTTGGCTGGCTCTCCATCTACAAAGAGCTTCCATCTCAAATTGTTTGGAGTTATTTGTTTGTAAAGTGCTTTGACATCTCAGATCTAAAGTACAGTAAAGAGCAAAAAAATATTGCTGTTGTTTCATTTGAAATCCCAAATAAAATGTGTTGCTTGCTCTTGAGTTGAAAATTTAAAAGCTTGTAATAATTGATAACTAATTCCACTGTAGCTTTATGGTGTCCTCGCCATCCTGGGATCGTCTACTTTTTACCCTTTTTCTTTAAAAATAAATAAAGGCTCTTTTGTGAAGAACAGCTTTTATTTGGTAAATAATTTTGACTTGCGTAATTACTTCTGTGACTTTTCTTAACTTCCCTCAAGCTGAAGAAGCCTCGCTCCGGCCCCCACCCCTGACTTCCATCCTGGAGCTCCCTTAAGTAATTGTGCAATTAGGAAGAAGTGGCTGGAGCATCGGGTTTGTCCGTATTTTAAGTTGGGAGTCTGACTTTGACTCCCCATTGCTTGAGTGGGTGAGCCAGCCCGTTATTAAAAAAACAATTATGCTGTTAAAAAATCAGGAGCTCCACAAGTGAAGAGCATCGATTGGAAAGAGCTGGTCAGTTATCACCAGAAGGTCCTGACAACACACTAATAGGTTTTTCTGAAGATCCAATCAAATTTTCTAGACAGAGACTTGAGGTGTTCCACATGGGATAATGCTTGTCCTGGGCAGTATTGATTTCAGCGTGTGGTGCTCCCTCTCTCCCCTCCTACAGGATCACCCTCTTCTGCTCTCTTTGTAATAAAGACTTGAGCTTTGTATTCCATGTTAACAGTACAGCGGGAGGGGCTTCAGAGGTCCCCCTGCCCTTGACTCGGCCCCCCTGGACTACTTTTGTTCCTAGAAATTTAAACTTAGGTCGGCATCACAGCTCCTGCTCAGCTTCTCCCTGACCTTGGGGGTTTTATTCTCATGGCTGCTGCCATCCCAGGCAGTGACCCCTTGCAGAAGGGGCTCAGAAAGCAGCTCAGGTACAGAGATTTCCAGTGCCCACACCCTCAAGCAAATGCCCCAAGCAAGGAGAGGGTGCTGTCTTATGCACACTTTGAGGGTAACACAGGGGGACATGGGAGTGTGGGTGGTGGGGAGACAGAAGGCTACAGACTCAGTGTACTGACTGTTCACTTCCCAAGGGTGTCAGATCAAAGGGGTGCATGAGGACACAGATCCAGCCCACCCTCTGCTAGCCAAGCTTGTGTCCTGACACCAAGCTGAATCTTCTTAATGTGGGATTTGATTTTCAAGGAATTTCTAATTCACACAAAGACCATTGGTGGCCTGGAAAGAAGCAGCAGAAACAGCCTCCAGGATGCTGAGTAATTCTGCTGCTGTGCCCTGCTGAGTTTGTGCCTTGGTCATTCCCACAAGCATCCCAGGGATGATAACCATGCCAGGAACATAAGACGCTTCCTGCCGTTCTATGATCGTTCATATTTCCATCATAGCCTTGGGTCAGCTTCCTGTACCTAGTAGGCGGGTGGTCACCTCACCCACCCAAACTCTTTGCCAGTTCCTCTCCCTGGAGACACTCGGCAGGGCCTAGACAGGATGCACCTGGCACATCTTTGCTCATACACTCTCTCTCTCTCTCCTCCTGCCATCTTTGAAGAGCATGGCTTTGATAGGGGATACAGGTTCAAATCCCAGCTTCGCTTAATGAAAGTCTACCTGGGGCAAATCTCCAAGCTTGTTTCTTCATGCCTAAAATATCCACCTCACACAAGACTGTGGAGAGCATACAGGTAAAAATGTGGTGTTGCTACACAGATGTTAGCTGTAAGCCATGATGAAACTTCTAGGCACGGGGAGACTTGCCTCCTCCCTGGGGCTTCCTGGACCCTGCAGATAGCCAGGTGCTGGCCTGACCACCCCCCCCCCCCATGTTTCAAGAGTGTGTTTCGGCTCCACGGCCAGGCTGTCAGTCCCTGGAGCAGCACGGTCACACCTTTGACTCGCCTTGGATTCCCCACAGCCCTGCAATATTCGGAGCACACAGGGGCTGCTCCATAACTCCTTGACTTGCCCCGTTATTTATTGTTATACAATTTTTAGTCTGTAGAACTTCCCACCTAGGAAGAGACTTAAATGGAGTCTGTAGCTTAGGTTTAGTTCATCCAATCATAGAATATAGAATGTCAGATCTGCCAAGCACCCCAGCACTCATCCAGTCCAACCCCCTCATTTTACAGACTTCGATTGCAGACAGCCTCACAGAGGAGTACCAAATACCAGCCGAGGAGATGTTATGTTTCTAACCCCCGCCTCCCACAGCCAAGACACCAGCACCAAGCTAATGAGATTTCACCTCTTTACCCTCAGCCATAGCAGCTACAGGGCAGCGCTGCGCAGGAAGCAGGCGCTGAAGCCCAGGAGTAAACAAGAGCACAGAGTGCATCCAAATGCAGGTTTTCCACACATTTTCGTTGTACGGAAATGTTGGGGTCCAGCAATCTGCATGTGGCAGTGTGAGAAGCCCTGCCTGGCCAGGGGAACGGTGCTGGGTTGAACACCAGCAGACCTGCAAGTGGGGCTAGGCTGCTCTGTGCAGCGACAGTGTCTCCATCTGCAAAGCAGAAAATGCGCAGCTCCCTCACTGAGCTTTTGTGTGCCCTCGCCGGAGGCCACACCTGGCACATAGTAGGCACTTAAGGAATGTTAGCTGCGTTTGAACTGCCACTTGTCTCGGGTGAGTGGCTGAACGGCTGATTGCAGGGCTGATTGGAGGACATGCAACTCTCATCAGCCTCATCAGGAAAGACAAATCTATTAAGTGGCTAAATGTATGATATTCTGTTCTCCACATTCAGAGCAAAAAGCTTTCCATAAACCAGGAAGATGACAAGGTAGTGTACAAAGACAAAAGATTTTAGAAATGGGAGGATCATGTCCAAAGGCCAGGCCTGGCACCTTGTGCTGGTTGTTTGATCCTGATCGACGTTTATAGCACGCTCATTCATTCCACAGAAACTGGGGGAGGCAGGCATGGGGTCTTTACTATGTGCTAGGCAAAGTGCTCGGCATGAAAACACGTTAGGGCCGGGGATTTAGCTCAGCGGCACAGCACCTGCCTGGCAAGCATGAGGTCATGAGTTTGATTTCTGGTACAAAACAAAAACTAACCAAAACAAAAGCACTTTAGGAACACTGGGATATAAGATGCATGAGACCCTGTGACAGACGTGACAGAGCAAATACCCGACTTGCTCCTGTATTTGCCCCAGCCCATTACGGTTGGGCAGGGGTACGAGGAAGGGCTCAGAGAAGGTGTGTGGCCCTTGGCACTGAGGCTGCATTTTTGCCTGATCACCCACCATTTCCCTTCTTCCCTGGTTGAGCCCCTGAGGTCACGTGCTCCACACGGTGCAGCCACTTAGTGCTGAAGCCTCCAATGGCCCGCATCTCGGAGTGACCAACCGGAGCAGAGGCCCCCCTGTTCATCCCCTCTGAACGTGCACTGTGCAGGAGAAATAGGAGGTTGGATATTTCTGTTTCCCTTTGCACAGCCCAGCCTCCCCTGACTGATAGAAACTGCTCTGTGATTTGCATTCCAGGAAGGCAAAGCACACACACACCATGGACTGGCTATTGGCTACTCGCTGTAAGAGGGATGAGGAAGGAGACCTGTGGGTTTCTACGGAAGCGTGCACTACTTGGGCTTTCCTAGTCTTGGGGGTGGAGTTCACGGAGGATGTGTTAGTTTCCTGACACTTTCACACACACTGGAGATAATCCATTTATCCAGAGGAGTCTCTGGCTCCACCGTTTTGGCCTCTGGTGGGACAGCACATTGTGGCAAGGGCACCTGGGGAAGCAAAACCCACCGTGGTCTAGGAAGCCAAAGAAAGGAAGAGGAAGGGGCCAGGGTCCCCCATCCCTGTCAAGAGCACCCCCTCCAATAACCCCTAGACCTTGCCCTAGCAGGTCCCAAGACTCACCCTTACCGAGCCCTCCCCTTCCTGCAGGCCAAGCTGGGGTCTAAACCTTCAACACACAGACCTTGGAGACATTCTAGATCCAAAGGAGAGATAAAAGCCTCTCTGGAGAAGTGCAAGGCCTGAGGGCCCAATGGGAATTACTTAGGCAGGGCAGGGAAAGGCAGCCGCTGCCTCCTCGGCAGAAGAGAGCACTGGGAAGGGAGCCCTGAACTGGGAGGGCGAGATGTGGCTGGAGGACAGCAGGCACAGCCAGGGCTGGTGGGGAAGGTGGGCGGCACTGGGCTGAGGACTGCACAGGACTTGGAGTTTCATCCTAACATAAATAGTAAACTGGAGATTTTTAAAAAGGTAACAGCAAGAAATCTGCTTTTCAAAGTGCGTCACCCTCACCTTCTTCGTCTACGAAATAAATACACTAACACTGTACCTCTGCTTCAAAGGACAGGGAGAACAGAGTGAGAGAACCTCTGAAAGACACAGTGCCCAGGCCACTGTCAATACTCAAAAAGACCGGGCGCTTCTCCGTGTGGGCTCCTCCTGCTCAGCGAGCACAGGACATCATTATAGGATGATACATATTGTACATATTGTACAGATGAGGAACTCAGACACAGAGCGGTTAAACTATTTGCTCAGGATCACACAGCTAGTAAACAGGGTAGACTCTAAACTGAGGCCCTGGGTTTCTCATTCTTAATTCTTATATTCCATTTCCACTTTGAAAGAAATGGGATTTTAGAAAAACAAAACGGGGGCTGGAGGTTTAGCTCAGCGGCATAAGCGCCTGCCTTGCAAGTGGCAGTCGTGAGTTCGATCCCTGGTACCGATAAAAAGAAAAAGGACAAAAAAAAAGAAAAACAAAACGGTCATGGAAAGCAGCTCTGGTCAGAGCCACAGGGATGAACAGGAAACACGAGCCCAGCCTCTGATGCTGGGCAGCCAGCCAGGGAAACAACGCAGGGCTCCAGGATCTCACAGATCTGCCCATGCAAGGCAGAGGTGGAGTCCCTTTCCCCTCCCCTGGGGTTGGCGGCCCAGGGAGGGACACACCTGCCCCCAGTCGCCTTTATCAGCAGCCACGGGCTCCAGGGCCCTGTCTGGTGAGTGTCCTGGGCCCTGATGTGTGTCCGAGGGCCTGGGCCTGAGGCGCACGGTGTCAGCTGGGCCCTCGTGGAAGGCAGGCTGGACCGGGCTTCCAGGCGAGCAGGCAGGATGGCTGCCCTCCCTGCTCCTGCCTCTCTCTGCAGTCAACCAGAAAGTCAGAAAATGTGCTTGGCTACCAGTGAAGCAGATGGCTGGGAATATCATGTGTATACAA